CATCAGTTTGACTTCATGTAAATGGAGTGTTGTCCTCAGGCCCCTGGCAGATTGTCACCCTAGCCCCTTGGTTGAAGCACCTGGCTTATGGGCCCTATCTTTCCCTACCACTAAAGTCAGCCCCTAAGGAAAATTTCCCAGCTGACTGGGCTATACAGGAATTCCAGTACAGAGAGTTCTGGCTAAGATTTTGCTTGTCTGCCCGTACCTCTTATTCCTTTCTTCTCTGTGAGTATTGTAAAAATGGCTACTGTGATTATTTAGCTGTTTTTGTTATTGGTACCTCCTAAAGGGAAAAGTGCAATATTCCCTCATCTTTAGTGGGGAACAAGACTCGTTGTTCAGGAAGTACTGATATACACAGAGCAATATGTGAGACGTTTTAAATGAATCTAACTTAGGAGGCAGTGGTTCTACATGTTGCGTTATTACAAAATACACTTGCTACAGGAGATATAAATCTTACGGTTAAAATTCAGAGTTAAAAAATGCTAGATTAGGCTCTTGGGTCGTGATATGAATTGTTACTAATCTTTGTGACTATTTAATCTTCAAATATTGTGCTTCAACCCCAGCAAACTGCACGTAACCTGCACCCCACCCCAAAAGAATCTGTATTTTAACGCCACTGCTCTTACTGGTCCCATTTTTCTGTTAAGACCAATCATGACAGCATTCAATTCAAGGTTATGAAAGTGTTACAATGCCGCTTCCAGTCTGCAAAACCTCAAATGTAGCCAACTTGATAAATTCTTAAGTGTTACCGTAGACTTAAAATCCATCTGGCACACTGTGGTATTTGTACAGTTCTTTTAATTATACATAGCTTTAAACCATCGACCTGATGAATTTAAAACACTCTGGCATCCAAGCCTTCACTTCAGAATGTGAACACTTTCATTGCATTCTTAAGTTAGCCTGAGAACTGACTGATTTAAAGGAAGACTGATAATCCTACACTTGCATAATGTAAAAATACAGGGCTACAGGAGGGTACCTAATTAAACAGTTCTGCAAACACAGAACACATTCTGGAAAATTTTCCAGCCAATTTCGCTACCTCCCAACTTGATGGATTAGAGGTAGCAGACAAATGCTGGTGCTCCCATCTACCTTGTAGACACCCCCCCATCAAGAATCAAGGCACAACAAGTGCACTCACTGTTCACAGTGAATGTTTGCAGAACATTCAGTTTAACTTTCAGCATTATAAATGTCTCATCCAGATCTCAAATCTGAAAAATAATCCTTTTGCATTAGACAAAATTATTTTCTACAGTTCTGAGCATATTAAAATTCTATTGGATTTCAAATAGGGACTAACAACCAATTGACTCACTATACAAATATCAACTTGTAATACTCAGTGAAATTTTTGCCATTTACATTTTACCTTTTGCTTTAGTGAATGTGTCTATTTAATTTTTTAAAAGGCACCATTACACAGTATATCCATTTATCACATTTCTTAAAGTGTTAAGATTCTATGACTCATTTCTATGTATTTTTCTTACTTTACAAAATAACTTGAAACAGTACAGATTTTGTAACACTTAATTTGAGCAGCTTCTTTTTCTATTACATTGAACTATATTAAGTGCATGCTACCTTAGAAAAATTAATATTTGCTGCTTTACTTTTTTCCAAAACATTTGCTGTAATAAGGAATTTGTATTTCCAATATGTACCTTGACTGCATTTTGTAATATTTACTGCTTCATTCCTAATTCTGCTTTAAAGTATTGAACTGGGCATGAAACATTAAAATATTAATCCAGAATCTGTATAAACTGGATGTTGCTTAAAATCTGTATCACTGCCACGTTTGAAACCCAGAATGCTTTTGTGATGTTTCAAATTAATAAAACTATCGTCCTCCTTATCCACTTACGTGTGTCCCCAGCAAACTCTCTAAAGCTCATTCACTTTCAACTATTACGGGTCAAGATACGATGGGACATGATCGCCAACATACAAAATCTAATAGGAAATTTTGTCATGCTGGCATCAGAAATACAGCTCCAATCTCCTGCTACAACAACTGAAAAACAAAAGAATATAAAAGTCTATATAATTTCTGAAAGAAAATTTTAAAAAAATACACTCAAAAATGAGAATTAAACATTTTATTTTCGCCATAAGAAGCTCTAAGAACTATAGCAGTTAATGGTTTATGAAAAGTAGAACTTAAAGTCATGATAGGGAAGACTGTACAAGTATGAACATTACAGTATTTGAGAAAATGAACAAGGTTTCACATGACTAACAGAGCTGAGGAAGCCAGTATTGTTGAATTAGCATTTGATTCTTTAGACTATGCATGCCTTAGAATACAAAATACCTTGATCAATTTGGCCATTTTTCTTTTTTGTACATTGGAAAAAATGCAGCACCAGTTCCTCTGAGTGGCTATATGTGGGGGATCTTTACCACGAAAATCATCATGATCACTTAAAACGTATTTTAGTCTTGCAAGATTGCTATGGCATTTTAATAGTTTTGCTTAGTTTGAGCATTTTCATTTTGTCATTTAACAAATTACTATTTCAAAAAGATTCTCTCCAGAATATTTACAGGTAATTTAGCATAGGAGCAAATTTGAAGCCAACCTGAAAGACAAAGGAAGCCCAATAGCCAGAAAGCTAAATACAAAATAGAAGAACCCCATGATAAATTTTAAAGAGTCTTGCTACAGACTTCCAACCCAACAAATACTGACAGTGAAGGGTTTTAGCCCCAAAGGAGTCTTCTACATGAACCTGACTTTGGATATAGAAACTTCTCCTAGGAAAACTGAAGACCCTGAGACACGTACAAGTAACAGTCATCTGGCAAAAATACAATTTAAGGGTAATTTTCCATTCCTTCAAAAAAAAAAAAAAATCCAGAAGATCCCGTTAGTAGGTAGTTTAATATTCAGAATTTACATAGAACACAGCAGCAGCCAATAATTATATCCATATTATTCAGAATGGATAGTTTTCCTTTCTAGAATTAATTCCTAGTTTGTCATAATAGGCTAGGAGAAACTACCAAGTTTTATTATGACAACTAATTTATCTAGCAGTTAAGTCTGAAAGGTCTGGAAGCTCTGCTGGCATCAGCTAGTTCACACTTGTAGAAGTAATTTATGTTTAACTGATGAAATAGCATTAATGTAACTCAAACAAATCTCCACTGAAAACATTTCAGAGTGCAACCTATAGTCAAAGAGTAATGTTATCACTATCTACACAGAAACGAAACAGCTATCGTGATTCCAGAGATCACAGAGTCTTAAGTATAAGCTAATTTCAAATTTTCCACGGGTTAGTTTACAAAATGGTTTGAAGGTTTGGACTCACAGAACAGAAAACAGATGCACATCACTCTACCCCTTGGTAAGCAAAGGATTATTTTTCTTTCTCCTCGTATTACTACAAATACCCTCAGTTACCAACTCAAGAAGCACTGAAACCATTATCTTCAAATGTAGCTTACCATCAGAAGAATGATGTATACATAAGAAACTATGATTAAAGCTTTAAGTTCAAAGTCAAGAAATAGGATATGTTAAAAAATACATGACTAGGACAAAGAAAACACCTACATTAAATTAATACTTAAACAAGGTTACAAATGACTAATAACTATGCACAACAATCTTTTTCAGTATCTATTTTTTCCTTTGCAAAAAATCATTTACAGAAGTTCAATAATTCTGTTATAAATGCTAGGCTATGTATTTGTTCCAATCTGCTCACTTTCAGTACTAGCACAATTGTTAAGTTTTGATTTTATAAGTGTTTAAACATGTGCCATTTTAAAAGGAAGAAAGATGGTATTTATTGTTCTCAAGCTAAATGTGAAATCAACAAGCCAAAACATTCCATATGTAGCCTCCGATTGTTGTAATACTGCAGCAATTTGCAGATGGAATGGAACTTATTTTTAGAAGGGGTAAAACCTAAAAAAAAACCTAAGAAGCCTCGGTGGTGCAACAGTTAAGCACTTGGCTGCTAACCAAAAGATTGGCAGTTTCGCACCACCCAGTGACTCCTCAGGAGAAAGGCCTGGCGATCTGCTTCCTTAAAGATTACAGCCTAGGAAACCCCATGGGGCAGTTCTACTCTGTCACATCGGGTCTCTATGAGCTGGAATCGATTCAATGGCACCCAACAACAAAACCTAAAAGGTCTTGCTGAAAGGAAAATACTACATCACTGATTCAACTGTGTCAAATGAAAATTTTCTATTGGAGATCCTAAGTAATATGAGCATTTAAAAAGAAATGCCAGTAGCCTCCCATCCAAAACATGTAGGAGGAATCTCATTTATGGAATTCTATCCTTTATAAAGATTTATACACATTTAAAGATGCATTTCGTGGCTTTCGAAATTTGAAAATTTTCACAGGAATATTTTAACCATAGCAGGCAAAAAGGAAATCTCTATTCAATTTCACTGTCTCTATTATGTAAGAGTACAGAATTCAAAATAAATGCAACATAACTTTTCATCTCCTCCTGTCTGCATTACCGAGATCTGTTTTTCCATCAGTATTCCCACCCCACCCCCACCCCCCAGACTACGCTGCAAAGGTATATAGTGGTCCAGCCACCAAACTTTTTTCCAGATGGTGGCAATAAGAGCAAGACTTAATTCAAATTAGCTAAAACTAACTGATTCTTCAAATGAGAGACATGTCTATACTGCCATTTTCATGGGGGGTTTGTGTGTGTGTGGGGATTGCTATCCATTTTGACTAGCAGAATACACAACCAAGTGGAGAGCTATTCTGAAATTTTCCAGAACAACTTTAGAAGTTCTTGTTTACTTTTTATTCCATATACAAGACACAACACACATTTATAGTCTCAGTGTTAACAAAATTGAGAATACAGCAGTAAAGTGCTAACATGGACGGGAAAGGTTGTAAGATGTACTAGGGTATGCTAATAACTCCAGTTATTTTCAAAGAACATTCAGACTGCTTCAAATTCTATTCAGAAAACTCTCCCAAGTTTTTTTTTTTTTTTTTTTTGCCTCTTTTAAATGAGCTGAAAGCTAACTATATAAACAGATACCTGGGGTGGCGGGACTTCTCAATCTCTACTCAAACTTTCAGAAAAATTTGCTTCTAAAAAATCATCAACCAACCATCCAACTAAACTGCCTTCAGATAACATGGCAGATCAAATTAACTTATTTTCACCTTAATTTGTTTTACCAGTCTTCTGAAGCCCTTGCCCCTAATCCAAAGCAAAACTTTCTGATATTTCAAAGGAGTTCAATAGGATTCTGGTATTATAAATTCAAACTCAGTACTGCCATCTGTTACGTTTTGTTTAAAAATGGAATCATTTTCCTGCTGATTAAAAATATCATCCCAGGTCATTGGCTTGTTCTGAGTAGATGTGGTCCCTACTGGAGGTTCTTTCCCAGCATCAACCTTATACCCAATACCATCATCCTTCATTACAGGCATAGTGCTTGACCTATCAGAAAGGTATGAATATTGTCTGATCTGTAATGACCTGCATGGATGTAAACGATAAAGCTTGGAGTCTCCAGAAGGATCTTGACTATGAACTGACTTTATGTGTGAAGACATAAACTGATAGTTGATGAAAGATTTGCCACAGGCCAAACACTGATACCTTCGTTCCCCTGTGTGATGAATTTCATGCTTTGTGCGATATTCTGCAAGAGGAAACACCTTCTCACAGTAGCGGCATGGATACTTCTTTTCCCAAGAATGAATGTTAAAATGTCTCCGTAAGCTTGTAAGACAGACATATGACCTTTTGCATACAATACAAATATAATAGACCCTTCCATCTACTATTAACTCATAGTGATCATCGTGTTTTACTTTCATACGCTTGTTTGTCATCTCACTGCCAGATGTTTTTGGTACGTCATTCTCAAGTCTGGCCTCCCCTTCATCAGGGTCATCTTTGACAGGGATCACTATGTCGTAAGTATCTTCACCAATATTTGCATAAACCTTGCAACCAGTTGACAAGCCTTCAATTTCAGTAGCTGTATCTAAAGTAATGATCTTCTGACCTTCCGTTAGATGTTTTGATCCTACACCAGGATCATTAGTGTTTCTAGTAATTATATCTGAAATTTTTAAAGAATTGGAAAGTGGTTCTTGCAGAAGTGTAGGGATTGGCATCTTCTGTATCAATGATCCATCAAAAGTAGTATTTTGGGGGACATCAGCCTGTGGGACCAGAGATGTATTACTGACTGCGGAGTCTGGACTGGAGCTAATAGTGTCATCATCATCATCTATAATTTCTTCCTCCTCCTCTTCATTGGCCTCATTTCCTGTTAAAACGGCACTGTTTGGTGGCTGCTGATTCTGTACAAGTATATTGATTGAAGGAGCCATATGGTTTGGAAGTGAAGAACTGACATTTGGTGGTGTAGTAAGTGGTGTCTGATTTAGCAAAATAATGTTCGGAGTCAGATGTGTTGGGGCTGAAGATACCAGCACTTTTTCACTTCCTTGTGTCTGGCTCAGAGTTACCTGACTCATAGAAGTAGGAAGTTTCTGAGTTGGTGTCGTATTTGTTAAAGGGGAAGAGTTATTGCTAGCACAAGGTGCAACATCTGAAATAGCAACAGAGCCTGGGTTAGCATGGACCTGTGCATTGTTATTCGGCAAAGTCTCCTTTGCAGGCAGAATCTCAGAGCAGAAAATGACATCATCATCATCATCATCATCTGAATCAGTAACAATGATCTTTTTTGTTTCATAATCTTCAGCAGATAAGGAAAAAGACTCTGTTATAATAGGCATTATAGTGGTCCCATTATCTTGAGCTTCATCTTTTGATTTTTGTATTTCAAGGCTCTTGTCATTGGAACCAGGAGGTAAGGTTTCTGCATTACCATCCTGAGTTGACCCTGAGATGCTTTTAACCTGTGACAATGGGACACCAAGCTCTGCTATAAATTTAACTCCTAATAACTGCCCTGATTTAATTAACTCATCAAGTAAATCTGATCTAACACGGACAATTTTAGAACTATAGATGTAATTGAGAATTTCTGCAAAAATCTCTGCTCTTATAAAGCTCAGTTCAACAACTTGCCCGGCAACTGCAAAGAGCTGATGGAAATATGTACTAGAAGCTGAAAGAATATTCCTGTGGGCCCGGAATTTTCGGTCTTCCACAATAACGGTAACATCACAGAAGAGTCCGTGGCCACGTTGCTCATTCAAGGAGTTAAGCAGACTTCCCGAGTATTGAGTGTCTGTAGCAGAAATAAGTTTTCTACCCTCCATGCCTACAAAAGAAAGGGAGGAAGAGGGGCCAGGAGAGGGACAGGATTAGGAAGGAAAAATAAAGTATTTTATCATTCAGAATTTAAGCCACGGCATCATTAAATAGTTTAAGTTTTAACAGAAGGCTGGTATAACCTTTTGGCTTTTTATATGAATTGATCATACAGGCTGGTTTTTGGACCATGTGTCAAATCTTACGACTTTTCCAAGAAGGCGCCAAACAAGCTTTAAATTGCTCTACAGATTCGAACAGCAACCTCCATAGCCACCTTCCTTTGATACTCAGATACACCCATCAACACTAAACAATTTTTATGGATTAGAATTAATTTTCTTATTCCTCAATTTTGGGTCTTCTCATGAAGAGTTAAAACTTAATTTTTAACTTTCTTTTTTTGGTCATTTTTTAAATTGTGGTAAACATATAGGTAGGAGCCCAGGTGGTGCAGTAGTTAAGCACTCGGCTGCTAACCAAAAGGTCAGCAGTTTGAACCTACCAACTGCTCTGTGGGAGAAAGATGTGGCAGTCTGCTTCTGTAAAGATTTACAGCCTTGGAAACTCTACAGTGCAGTTCTACTACTCTGTCCTACAGGGTCGTTATGAGTTGGAATCGACACGACGGCAATGGCTTTGGTTTTAGGTAAATATATAGGTAACAAAACATTTGCCATTTCAACAATCTTCACATGTACAGTTCAGTAACATTAATTAATGCCCATCACGTTGTTCAACCATCACCCTTAACCATGCCTAAATTTTCCCTTCACCCTTAACAGAAGCTCAGTGTTCCGTGAGCCTTGTGCCTTCTTCTCTCTCCCTCCCACACGCTCATCCTTCCCCACCACCACCCCGCCCTAACCACTAACAAACTATACCACTTGCCACTATACCACCTGCCTACTCCAGATATTTCATGTAAGTGGGATCATACAACTTTTGTCCTTTTGTGACGGACTCATTTCACTCAGCATAATGTTTCCAAAGTTATTTTAACTTTCTTAAAAATTTGTTTTAAGAAAAACCATCATGTACATATAGAAGTTATTTCATCTGTAACTGAATAAATTAAATGTCAGAAAAGCTTGGTATGTACAATACTGAGTGCAAAATATACATTCTTCCTAAATTTTAACAACTTATCTTAGGAGCCCTGGTGTCGTAATAGTTAAGCGCTTAACTACTGCTAACCAAAAAGTCAATGGTTAAAACCCACTAGTGGCTCCGAGGGTGAAAAGACCTGGCGATTTGCTCTCATAAAGGGTACAGCCTAGGAAACTCTATAGGGTCGCTATGAGTGCCATCAATTAGAAGGCACACAACAACAATCTTATTTTCAAGAATATATTCAAAAGCTACTCCCTGCAGCCTACAACTGAATCAGCATTTAAAAACACTGACAATTATTACCCCTCAACTTCCCATAATTTTTCTGTTATTATTTAAATGAAGTGCCTCATCTTGATACACTATTAAATGTCTTTCTTACTCTCTCTTCTTTCTTCATCCTCTTGCCCCTTCCCCTACTCTTATAATCTCCAGACGTGGAATGTTAAATAGAATGCCAAGTCAACAGATGCTATTGTGAAAAGACAAAGAAAAGGAAAGTTTACCGTTTCTCAATGCTTACTTGCATGAAAACATTAAATATTTTGTTGGTAAAGAATTATGTGCATTGGTATGAGAACATTTTTTCGTATCAGTGAGGTAGTGAAGATGAAAACATAAACTTATTGGAACAGAGCAGACATTACTCTAGAAGGGGGGGGAGATATCAGTTTATAGCATTGCCATGCATCATACCCAAAACACTTTTTTTTTTGCACTTTGCAGAAGATATGCTAACAATGATGCTGAGAGTTGTGGGAAAAATATGTATGTACATATGCATATATACGTACATATACATATTAAATGTTAACAGTTTATAAGTACTTTTGGCAAAGAAACAGTTTTACTATTAATATTCTTTCCCTTTAAAGTTACCAAAATAGTACCACTGTCACAGTGCTTAAGTTATGTGAGTAATACTATACACACGTGGAAGGTAGTGTGTCTCAAATATCTTCTGAATTTTCCAAAATTATAGTTTAAAAACAATAGCAAAAAGTCCAAAAACCAAGGATTTAAAACCTCATCTGTTAGAAGGTGTTGCTTGTTAACAGTACCAAGGAATTCCAGGTTACCATAAAGACATTCATTGGAAAGGGTGACCTTTGGACAGCGTGCCAACAACCAGGACTTCCGAAATACGGAGATTTCGACAGAAGTCACTTTTTAAGTGGACAGGTTTTCTGAATATGCTCCCACAATTTTTGTCTTTACAAATGGGTTTTTCCAATGTAGGCACGCGTCAAATGAACAGGTCCAGGTGACTCTGGGACTTGGTTTCGTTTTGTTTAGGTTTCCCCTCCTCCCCGTCAGGTCAGTCGGAACCCACCCCAAGCTTTGAGAGCTGATGTTGGAAAAGCCATTCCGCATCGTTGCGAGGCGAATCCTTGACGGAGGGTAGGTGAAGGAGGGGCTAGGGAAGGTGGAAAAGAGAGCGAGAAAAGCCCTCAGCCAGGGGGTGAAACAATCCGACACGCGGCTCCCTGCGGCAGCTGAACCCCATCTCCCCTCCTCCACCTCCCTATTCCCATTTTGCACCCAGCCGGCTGCAACCGCGGTTTTGAACCTCAGTTCCCGTGGAAAGGCGGCTGCTCGCACAGACAGGCGGAGGTGCAAACAGCAGGGAGAATAAGGGGTGCCAGGGAAAGTAGAAGCTGGCGAACAGAAGGGTGGGGTGTTGGGGGGGACGCGGCGAAGCAGGCGGCATTGTTAAGCCCCGGGAAGGGGACGGAAGGGGAGGATGGGCCGGCAGAGAAGCTCGAAATCAAAGTGGGGGCTAGGAGGAGAAAAGGGGGGCAGAAAAAGGCAGGCAGAGGGGCGAGAAAAGGCCGAGTGGGTGTCGGTGGCGGGCTCCCTACGCCCCGGGCCTACCAGGGGCACGGACGGCCCCTCGGGCCCTGACGGGGACCGCGCCGCGGCCCTCCTGGTTCGTCCCCTCCTTCACTCCGGGGCCCACACAAAGAAAGGGCCAGAGCGGCGGAGCCTCTGGCTCCGCCGCTTCCTGGTTCAAGAGAGGAGAATGCAAACAGCAGCGTGGCCCAGGGACCGAGGAAGCAGGCGCGCTCCTTCGCCCCTCCCGGACTGGGGCCGACTCCTCACCTGCTTCCTGGCGCCGCCGCTTCTTCTCGGGCCGCGCGGAACGGTGGGAGTCCGCCAACAAGAAGAAGCGGGACTCCCGGGCTATCCTGCTGCTTCTTTAAACGTCGCTCCTGTCTTGGTCGACGTCGACGCCGCTGCCGCTGCCACAGCTGCCCCACGCCGCCGACAGAGGGCTCAGCGCGGGGGCGAAGGGTTGAACTCAAAGGCTCCCTCCTCCCCCGGGCACAGTTCGGGTCTTTCCGGAAAGGCCCGAACTCTAGGTGGCTCCCCCTCGGCCCCCTACTCGGCTTTCGGCTCTTTCCGGAAGGGGCGGAGGAAGACTGGGAAACTGTTGGAGTAGTTTGCTTTTCCGGAGGGCGAAAGGGTGGGAAAAAGGAACAGGAAAGACGGGGTAATGCAGTCGCAAGCAGTTGGGATGGGAGGGAATCTAGTGGCTTTAATCTAAAGTCACTGTAAACTTCTAGCGCGCAAAACCTTTTAGACACTCTACAGTTTTCATTTCTATTGCAAGTTTGAATCTGCTCTGTTAGCCTGTTTGCTGCATAATCCCCGTTGCCATGGAGTCCATTTCGACTCATTGCGACTCCACGTGTTACAGAGTAGAACTGCTCCTTAGGGTGTTCAAGGCTATAATCTTTACAGAGGAGCCCGGTGGCGCAGTGGTTAAGAGTCGGCTGCTAACCAAAAGGTGGGCACTTGGAATCCATCAGCGCTCCTTGAAAACCCTATGGGGCAGTTCTACTCTGTCCTGTAGGGTCGCTATGAGTCAGAATCGACTTGATGGCAATGGGTTAATCTTTTCGGAAGCAGATTGCCAGGCCTTTCTTCTGTGGTCCCAGTGGGTGGGTTCAAACTGCCAACCTTCGGGTTAGTAGAAGAGCGCAAACTATTTGCACAACCCAGGGACCTTATTTCATGATAACCACCTTGAAGTATAATCTGAATAAATATAATCAAACAAAATTTATCAACACATTATGATAATTCAAGTTCTAGGATAACAAAACAACTACATTATAATAATTACTTTTAAGATAAAAATCTAGTGTTTGGACAAGTATTCTTAATTGAGTACGAAATGATGAAACCGTTTACTGACCACTTGCTTGATCTGTATAGCAAACCCTATGTTAGGCTCCGTAGGATACAAAAATGAATAAGCCAAGCTCTGCACCTTTTCAAAAAGCTCAATATATAGGTACAAAAACATAGACAGGAGTATTTACACAAGGTATAGAAGCACAGAGAATGGCAAACTGAATGTTGCCATTTGAGCTGTATCTTGAAAAATGAATAATATTAACATTTGCATTGTTAATTTACTATTATTCCCACAGCATTTCATTCTTAGTGATATTTAGTGTCTGATACATAGTAGGTGTTCAGTAATTGTTAATGAATGAATGAGTTGTGAGTTCCATCATTTTAAAAAAGCCTGTGGCAACTTACTTCTGATTGAATACCATGATGAATGAAGCAACAGGATGGGTATTTAGAGAACAAACTATTTCCTTTAAGCCTGGGTATTGATCATATTCAGTTAAGGAACCAAATAGCAGCTTTTCTGCAACAATTAAAGCTACTCACCACCTTCATTTCCTTTTTCTAAAGATATGTATAGAATAATATTGCATAAGTTTTTGAAACTTGAATTTGCACCTATTTGCCTTTCAGTTGGAATCTCTGTGCTTCTTTCCTATAAAAATCTTGCTGAAAATGTCCATCTTTCAGTAGCTTAGTTGACCAAAACTAAAAATGAGACAGAGTCACTGGGTGGCACGTGTGGTTACATGTTCGACTACTGAAAGGTTGGTAGTTCGAATCCACCCAGAGGCACCTTGGAAGAGATGCCTGCTTCGGAAAGGTCACAGCTGTGAAAACCCTGTGGAGTGCAGTTCTCCCCTGCAACACATGGGGTTGCCTTGAGTCGGAATTAACTCAACGGTAAGTAACAACAACAAGTGAGGTATGATGAAAAGCTGTTCATTCACAGTACAGGACACCTCTTCCCCACTGGTCATGTCCCTCACCCTCCTGCAACACAGCAAAAACTAAACTAAAAAAATTTAAAAATTAAAAAACGAAACCCGTTGCTATCTAGCCAATTCCGAGTCATAGTGGCCCTATAGGACAGAGTAGAACTGCCCCATAGGGTTTCCAAGGAGCAGCTGGTGGAGTCAAACTGCCAACCTTTTGGTTAGCAGCCATAGCTCTTAACGACTGCACCATCAGGGCTCCAATCTAAAAAAGCTATCTATAATTAAAGGGGATCTAATGATCAGGAAAGGAATTTTATTTGTAGTAAAACAGAGCAGATCAAGAAACTTGAGTGGCCTCAATAATTGTCTTTGGGAGAGGATCATTGGAAAGTTTTGTTAACTTTCTACTTCTAAGCAAGTTTACCAGTAAACAAGATAATTCACAATTATTTCACCTTTCACTTTCTTTTTATCTGTAGGCTTAACCCTCCTTCAAATAACCCAATAGATTTTAAAGAGAAGAACCTATATCAAATGGATTTGGACATAACAATTGTTTCATATTCCAGAAACGCTTCTGATTGGCTGGTAATGTAATCAGTCAGGTTTTATAACCACATTGTCAGTGTTTACTTGCCTTGTTTGAACTTGGTTGTAAATTCCATGAGGGTAGCAACTGTCCTCTGCTGTGGTAAAAATGCCAATAATCTTGCAGGTGCTTAATATATATTAATTGATGATGATAAAAGATTAAAAATGACATTAATTCAGTCCCAGAACCCTTCCTCTGAGCTATGCTTAAGGTCACAGATTTGGTAAAGTCACTACACAATCATAAGAAGAAACCCCCGTATGGTATAAAGGCTTGAGGGGCAGATGTGGGTGGTTTGGAATTCTGGTGTGTCATATACTAGTACTGTGACCTTGATCCTGGTTCTTCATATGTAAAATAGGGATAAAAATACAACCATATGGTTGTTTTGAGGATTAAGTGAATTAACTATGTAAAGTGTCAAACTGCTTACAGTTCCCCAGAATATGCCATGCTGTTTACTACATCTATGTCTGTGCCTGTAACTCTGAGCCTGGAATAGCCATTCTATTCTTATCCACAATTTGCCTCTCCTGTTGTCTGGCAAGTGCCTGGTCTTCCATAAAGACCCAACTCAAGCATTAAATTATTACTATTTTTTTAAATAGAATGTATGTGTATTATGTACCAGGGTATAGTGAAATTGAAAACAGAAACTTTTAAACAGCTGAATGTTCTTCCCTTGATGCCAACCTCTCTTCTAGAGCATGATTTTACTTGCTCGCTACATTAAAAAATGTCCATTCAATATTTGGAATTTTTTTGTTTTTTATTGTGCTTTAGATGAAGGTTTACAGAGCAAATTAGTTTCTCATTAAACAATTAATACACATACTGTTTTATGACATTGGTTGCCAACTCCATGATGTGTCAACACTCTTCCCTTCTCGACCTTGGGTTCCCCATTACCAGCTTTCCTGTCCCCTCCTGCATTCTCGTCCTTGCCCCTGGGTTGGTGTGCCCATTTGGTCTTGTTTTATTTTATGGGCTGTCTAATCTTTGGCTGAACGGTGAACCTCGGGAATGATTTCATTACTGAGCTAAAAGGGTATCTGGGGGCCATACTCTTGGGGTTTCTCCAGTCTCTGTCAGACCAGTAAGTCTGCTCTTTTTTTGTGGGTTAGGATTTTGTTCTACATTTTTCTCCAGCTGTGTCCAGGACCCTCTCTTGTGATCCATGTCAGAGCAGTCGGTGGTGGTAACTGGGCACTATCTAGTTGTTCTGGACTCAGTCTGGTGGAAGCTGTGGTAGTTGTGGTCCATTTCAAGCATTAAATTATTTAGGAAGCCTTCCCGACCCAATAAATGGTAGATAGCTATAGTTACTTAATGTTGAATGAATATCTGGAACTTGTTGTTGCTGGGTGCCGTCATGTTGATTTTTACTCATGGCGACCCCATGTAACAGAGTAGAACTGCCCCATAGGATTTTCTAGGCTATAATCTTTATGGAAGCAAACTGTCAGGTCTTTATCCCGAGGAGCTGCTGGGTGGGTTTGAACCGTGAACCTTTCAGGCAGCAGCCCAGCACTTAACCACTGTACCACCAGGGCTCCTTTCTGTTACTTAATACATGCTAAATATGCTTGCTTTTTCTTCACTGTACCCTTTTCTCCTTAGTCCCAACAATTCTCTATTGAAGTGACCTGTTTAATACTGATTGTCCTTTTCTTCTTAAAACTTTCCCAAGTCAATACGGTAGGGATATATAATCCTCTTACTGGGAAAGAGATACTCGATAATTAATTGCTAACAATAATATAATCTACCAAAAAAGGCAACATACAGCTTATTTCACACATGAAAAAAAAATTGAGGGAATATACTACCCATGGGCCCTCTGTGAAAAAATTATTTGGCAATATGAAGTCAAATTAAATAAGAAATTAGTCAAAATAAAGAATTAAGAATGGAGATTCTGCAGTAAGCCAATCTATATGGAGGACTAAGACCAAACAACAGGGTTGATTATGACTATGTGACAGAATGAAATGTTATAAACCCTGACACTATAAAAACCATTCATTCATTCGTTCATTAAACACATATTATTTAGTACCTACTTTTTGCCAGTCAATATTCTAGGTACTGTAGATACAACAGTCATCAAGACGAAGTCCCAGTCTTTTTTTTTTTTTTAAATTTTTTTTTATTGTACTTTAGGTGAAGGTTTACAGAACAAATAGTTTCTCATTAAACAGT